ATCCATCACCCCAGTGAGGGGGGACTGCCTTGGTCAGACACAGCAGGTGGTAGGAGAAGTTTGAAGTTCATAGATGCAGGGGGAAACTCCTGCTGTCCAGTCTGGGGAACTTTTAACTCCCCTGCTCTCGAGGTTATGACATTTAAAACTTCAATCTGCCAGGAATTCTTGGATTGGAGGTGGCTAATTCCACAGGACCATGGAGACAGGCCTTTTGGAGCAAGGTAGGAGTCTTGTAAACACCCCTGCCCTTTCTCCAAGTTTCCATGCCTGCTATTCCTGATGGGAGAGAGCTCATTTCCAGCTCCTACAGAAATGCTGTGACCGGGATTTCAAGTGGCACTAAGGGATTCAGAGGAAGGGAAATTCCATGGAAACCTGAAGACCCCAGAATATCCCTTCCCAGCAGGGAAGCTACACCATCACACAAAACATGTCTTACTGTGAACAGAGGAGGTCCCATCATCAGGAGGTCCTTCCCAAACATGCAGTTTGCCAGCGATGCTGTTGCTCCGTAGAAGCAGAGGATGCTGAAGATGCTCAACACCACAACTGGAAAAAAACATGGAATCAGAGGCAGGAAGGGTGATGGAGTCACCAGCCCTGGAGGGATTTCACAGCTGTGTGGATGTGGCACTGGGGAACAGGTGGCCTTGGAAGTGCTGGGGGAATGGTGGGAATCAATGATCTTGGAAGGCTCTTCCAACCTAAACGGTTTTATGCTGCTGTGATTCTACTTCATGATGATAAAATGGTAGAAAAGCTTCTGCTAAAGGACCTTATGGAATTAAAAATAAAATTTCTACCTGCAGCAAAGCCATAGCTTCACCAGAATTGCAGCCAGTGACACCGGTGGCACATTTAGCCCATCCCACACCTCAGCTGCTGGGAAATAGGACTGTACAGAACCTCTGGAGGCTGAGCTAATCCAGCAGGATCAGCCACACCTAAAGGTTTGTTTGGAAGCTCAGGGCCCTGGAGCTGAGAGGCTCAGTCCCTGTTGCCTGCACACACCAGCCTTCAAAGGAACCCTCTCTTCTTGCTTCTTTCCACACTGAGCTTTCCACACTTCTCCCCAACCCAGGACCTGCTCACTGCACTCTGTGGGAAGGTTTGATGACCAAGCTCCCCTAAAACTCACTTTCAAATGGCAAAGGGAGGTTCTCCAATGTGAAGAGCAGAAAACAAATGCTCAAGAGCTCCATTGCAAGGGTCACACAGAGCAGCACCACGTTAAAAGAGGAAGCTGTGGAAAGAAACACAAACAAAGGGCCCCACATCAGAGCATGGCCCATAAAATGGACGTGGAACAGCAGAAGGGTTCCTAAATCAACTGAATCTTGTTTGATTCAACTGAGCAGCCCATGATCTTGTTTCCCTGGTCGAGGAGGAGCAGAGGCACGGCCATGGTTTGTTCAGTCCTCAGGTTTCACGGGACACACTGCCAAACCCTTGGTCTGCCAGTACACTGTGCTCACATGGAAAACACTCCTCAGGCAGCCAAGCAGATCCTGATTTACACCAGCTGGGCTGAAGTGTGACTGTGGATTTGTGCCAGTGGCCCAGTCCATCGAACACTTTCACCTTATCTGAACCTTTTATTTTCTTTGAGATGTTCTTCTGTTCCCTTGGGACTGTTTCTTCTAAGCCCAGCTCAGCTTCTGTTACTGGCTGTGGGCAAAACATCTCAGCTGTTGCCTAATCGGAGTGACAGGAAGAGCTGAGCCTCCCTCACCTGTGCATTCCCACCACAGAAGCACTAATGACCTGACCCCAAATACCCCTCCATAAACAATCCCATTGGTGCTGAGACTTACCTAGAATGATTAAAAAAGCATTGAGCACCAAAAAGGCAATGGAACCAGCAGTGAATCCCTCGGTGTTCCCTGCACCAATGTTCAGCAGGTGGCCTGAAATAGGACCAGCACATCTGGTTATGAGCAAACCATGAAGAGCACAACAGAAGAATGACAGAAGGGTGACAGATCTGTGGCTGGAACTACTCCAGCTCTGACTAAAGGGTGGTGGCCTCGTAAAGAAAACCTCCTGCTGCTTCTGCAACGTGAAGTATTTGAGGTATTAACTGGAGAACTGGTGGTGACCATCCAAAAATAGCTGATGATTTTACCTCCAGCTCGTAATCCTCAGGGTCTGGCTGAACACATCAGCAGCTCCTGCCACACTTCTGGAGGAACAGCTTCAACTCTCCCCACAGGTGCTCATTTTAATAGGGCCTGGCACGGAGGCTGCATGGACACACTGCCCACCTGGAGCCAACCACGGCTCTCAGAGCCCGGGCTCAGCATTCTGAGAGCTTCTCTCATGGCTGTCACCAACTGGGATGAACTTCTCCAGGCTGCCGAAGGACAAACCCGGAACCCGGAGCCTTCCACTGCCTAAAAAGCATCTCCTGAAGCATTATTGTGGGATAACAGCCCAGAGACAGCCTCACAGTATTTTAGCAGGGAGATCTTGGCCTCTGTTGGAGTTGAAGACACTCCTTGGCCCCCTGCAGCTGTGTGTACTGAGTGCCTGTGGCAAGTGCAAGCTGGGACGTTCGGGTGTTATACTTTTGCAAGGAGGAAAATTGGTGAACCTGACGTGACTGGCTCTCCCGCCGGAAAGAAGGAATTACTTGGAATCAAGCAATCTGAATTCCCTAAAAGCATCCCCTTTTTTAGCGACTGAGCCACCCGGGCGCCCGGCCCGCGCGTTACCTGCCAGGCGCAGCCACGCCCAGGCCGCCCAGAAGGCAGCGTAGCAGAACGGGAGGACAGAGCCAAACCTCCTCCCTCCCCAGGCCTGGATCCTGCACACGTAGAGCTGCCCCACGGCCCCCGGGATGAGCACGGAGGGGATGGAGAGCTGCTGCCTGCTGGGGTCCCCCAGGCCGCCCTGGATGGCAGAGGCCGCGGCCAGGCCGTTGCAGACATAGAACAAGGCGTCGGGCACAGCAGCGCCGGTGCCGCCGGGGAGCTCCTTGGTGCTCGTGAGGAGGGCTTTGAGGGCCACCAGCGTGGTTTGGAGAGCCGAGCTGGACACGGCCTGGGCGCCCACCGGGATCAGGGCCTTCTCCCCGATGGAGTTGATGAGGCTGGCGAAGGTGGCGTACAGGGACAGGGCCGTGCAGAGGCTGCAGGCGGTGCCCAGGAGGGGCTGAGCGCCGGGCAGAGGGATCTGATGGATGAAGGCCGTGGTGAGGATGACAAAGGAGGCGTTTTGCAGCATCTCCAGGGTGTCTTTGTGGGTGGACATCAGGAAGAGCGTGCAGGCAGTGGCCAGGAAGAACCACCCTCCAAACATTCCCAGCCTGCTGTCCTGAGCCCAGGGCAGCCCAAGGAAGGTGGTGAGGATGAACTCTTCCCAAGACATCACCAGCCAGTAGAGGCTGTGTACACCAAACTTGGTTGTGTGGTAGGCATCACCTCGGAGGTAGCTGTAGAAGCTGGAGAGCAGCTGGCAGCTGGAGATGATGGAGATCCACACCGCCCCAACACAGAAGGTCTTCATGTAGCCAAAGAAGTAAAAGGCGAAGATAAAGGGCGACACCGTGTCGCAGATGTTGCCCAGGGCCATCGGCTCGGCATACTTTGTGTTCTTTTTCTTTTCCTCCCCGATGGCCTTGGAGGAGCTTTTCTGTGCCGACCCCAAGAGCAGGACATTGAAGAGGGGGTGCCCGAAGCCTGGAAGGACATAGCGCTGCGTGATGCCCTTGAGGAGCAGAGCCACCGCCCCGTACAACCCACAGGTGACAATGACCAGCTCGATGGCCCCCGACACCACCAGGGCCCACTGGCAGAACAGGGCGACCGCCTCGAACACCAGGGCGAGGGCGATGGCCCCGAATATGAAGGGCATGACATAGTTGACGGTGGCCGAGCAGAAGCAGAGGACGAAGGAGATGGAGATGTAGGCCACCAGCCCGGCCACCGCGCTCTGGCTGGCGGAGAGCTGGGCCGCGCCGAAGGGCAGGAGGTGGCTGCCGTTCCCCACGGGCAGGGTGGTGTTCTGCAGGGAGGGGTAGGCGGCCGACACGATCCGTGTGGCCCCGTAGCTGCTCCACAGGGCGGAGAAGGTGAGGAAGGCCGCGCCCCCAAGGTGGTCGTACTTGCGGAAGGCGAGGAATCCTGCCAGGAGCTGGACGAAGCCTCCGATCAGGACGAGGTGGACACCTGAGGGACATGTGAAGTGGTCAGGTGTGAGGCAAGCCACAAAAGGGCTTGAGCTGCAGGAAGCAGGTCCCACAGCCTTCCTGTGAGCAGCCCTGTGGCCTCTGCCTTCCCCTCTCTTCCCGCCTTTATGTCAGATTTCTGTGTGGGCGCTGAGCCTCTTGGCACGCTCGGTGTGGGGAGCAGGCCCAGGAGCAGTTTGGGTGTAGGAAAGTGGTAGGGAATGGCACATGGAAGGTTTGGACCAGACTCTGGGCTGAGGAAGGAGGAGCAGCCACCCCTAGGGGCACACAGACAGCCCACATATCCCCAGTGACAGTGACCATCATCCCACAGGGATGGCTCTCCAAGAGTCCATCCTGCCTGGTGTCACCAGCTTGGGCGTTCACCTCCAAGCAGCTGAGCAGCACCACCTACCTGCCAGGATGTCCTCTGCCCCCCGCGGCCTGAGGCCGCTCTGAGCCACGGTGAAGTTCTGCAGGCAGAGCAGGAAGGCACTGACCACGTTGCCCAGGAGCCCCAGCACGGCCGGCTCGCTGTAGAAGACGGCAGCAAACCCCGCCATGGCCCTTCCAGACAAAACAAGAGCGTCTGCCGTCGCCCCCACAACCCCGTCGGCGTCTAGACCGGCACTGCTCGGGCTCCCAGCCAGCCTTCAGAGCCGTGACCCTGCCCCAAGGAGGGAGCAACTGGTGACAGCCTCAGGTGTTTCCATGGTGCCTCCCCGCTCCTCGCTCCAGACAAAGGCTCGATTCAAAGCACCACTTTAGGTGCCTGCTTTCCGGAGTCCTATCCAGAAAAAACACACACAGGCCATTTAGGCTACAAGGAGTTCTGGCAAAAACATGTTTAGGTGCCCCAAAGCGCTGCAGGTGGTGGGGATGGTTCCTGTCCCCTCTTGTCCAGGCTGCTGGAGATGGGGAGGAATGAATAACCCAATGCTGATGGACAAACATTCAGGCGAAAGCCACAAGGTATTTTTGAGCCGTTCCAGGACATTTCTTATCCACTGTTACAGACAAACAGGCACGACACTCACATACACAGTCTCCCTTCCAGATGGAATTTTCCAGCTCCATCCCTTTCTTGAAATCCCAGTGACTAAATAGTCTATTTTCAAACCCTTCATATTTCTACCATGAACTCGCCTGTTTGCAGGCAGCCCCCACATTCCCGTTCCTCTGCACTCCTGGGTACCAGGAGCTGAAGTTTTCTCTCTGGAGGTTTTTTGTTGGGAAACAAAGATGAAAATAAAACAGCGATGTTCTTGTTATTTGGATATTTTTAGAACATTTGATGACCTAAAAGAGCTGGAAAGGGAGACAGTGATGTATTCTGTTCTCAGCCATTCCAAAGAGCCTTTTGGAAAGGGAGGAAAGCACCACTATTGATACGGGGAGGAGGGAAGGAGCACCACCCAAAAAAGAAATAGTGATGTGAATAATAATGAACCTAAATCCCAGGAACACACAGTTTTCCTCGGCACAAATACACATTTTGCAACTCTCAGGACTCTCTTGTTCTACTAAAAACCCCATGTTTTCCTCTCTCCATTTATCCTAAAGGTTGCAATTTTCCCAAAGAGAGCAGATGAAGGATAAGTTGACTCCAAACTGGCTCGGCAACATAAACTCCCACCAAACGTGGGAAGGGGTAAAAACTTCCAAGTGAACCCGGGGGGACAATTAATTATTCAATTATTTGTTTGTGCTGAAGGTTGGAATTTTTTGGCTCAGAAAGAGTGACGCACCAAATCCCAGCTCTGAGGGGGGAACGCTCTCTCTCAACATCAAACATCTCTCTGTGCTACTGACTTGAAGGAGGCCCCGAGGAACGAGGGGCTCTCAGGCAGAGCTGGGCCTGTGGAGTCCAGAACTTTTTTATTAGTATTATTACTTTCAATGACATTCCTATATAACTAAGTGGTCTGATTTCAAAGGTTAGTCTTGGAGAAGGGCCACAATCTTAAGTTCCTCCAGATGTTTTGCTCTGAAGGAGCTCAGGCAGTGCCTTTCTGGGCACGGTGCAACAAGCCCATTGTGTGGAGTCGATCCCTGGAGGAGGATGAGGTGGGTTTTTGGAGGCAGATGGGCTGGCCAGGTGACTCCTTGGCTCCCAGAAGTGGTTTTCAGTTTGCCAAGACTCATTTTGTTGGTGGTTTCTGTGTAACTGGCTGTGCTGGGGGATTTAGAGCCTGTGACAGACACCTGGGATATGTGAAGGATGTAGAGACACAACAGGGATGTTTCCCTCTGCTTCCAGTGCCAGCCTTCCTAGGACACCAGAGAAGGGGGAAAGAGAAATACCAGAACATGCTACAGAGCTGTAAAAGATGTGAGAGGGTTCAATCCAAGATATGGAAAAGGAGGAGGATGAAGGAAGTTCCCTTGGGAGGAGAGGGTTTTGGGGTTGGAAACAGCTGCACACCCACCCCCCCACAATGCCAACACAGCCTCTGGCCCCTGTCCTAAGGCCATTCCAGCAACTGTGCATTGTCCCTGCCTCTATTTCATCCAACATGAGGACACACCAAAGAATCAAAGCCCTCCAGTTGTCCCAAGAGCAGCAGCACTGGAATGTCGTGGGCTGCAGCGAGGCTGGAGAAAGAGGGTCTGCATGGGAACCCCCAGAGGGGTTTCCTGCTCAAATATGCCCTTGTCCCAAGGATAACACCACTCCTGGCTCTGGCACTGTCCCTTCTGTGCAGCTGCTGCCTCTGGCACTTTGTAAGGACCTGTTTGTCCCCTTGCACCGCAGAGAACTGAGAATGTGGCACGATAAGGTGAGGGGACACAAGGGGCAGAGCAGCAAACGGGAATCCCTCCCTCCAGGAGGGGTTGGCAGCTCTCTGCACACGCAGAGCATCAGCCAGCATAGCCACAGTGCAGCAAATCATGAGGATGGAGACCTTCCCATGGTGAGGAGGCACCTGGAGACCTGAGGAGCTGCCAGAGAGCTGCTTGTACCAAAGAGATGGGTCAGCTCGGGGTGATCATTCCCTGGCACAAAACCCCTCCTGCAGTGAGGGCACAGCCAAAGCCACCCCTCACTCAACCAGCCTCCTCCACCTTTTCTCCTTCCCCTGCCTGCCCCTGACACTCTTCACCCTGGGAGTGGCAGAAGTGGCATGTGAGGTCCTGCCCCTGTCCAGGCTCGTGACCTCTGAGCTGTGCCCACGTGGGGCAGCTTCTGGATGCCACTTCCTTCACTCACCACCTTCCTCACAGACAGCTGCCCTTCACCCCCTCTGGAACAGCTCACCCTCCTCTGCACCCCATTTCCATCTCTGTTAGACCAGGCTTTGCATCCTCTTGGCACCAACATCCAGCTGCTGCTGGTGCTTCAACCCGGCCAGTATTAATGGGAATATTCTGGTGTATGGACATTCCCTCCTTTGGAGGCTGGAGCAAAGCTCCACGTGCTGTGGGACACATAAACAACCACCAGCCCATTAACTTCTCAGACACCCAGTGGCATTTTGCCCTTAGTTTTCCATCCCACCTTATTAGTGATAAGAAATGTTTATGCAGCTCCGAGGAAACGCTGCCTCTCTCCAAATAAACATGGAGAGAGAACAGAAAAGCAATTCACTTTGGATAAACAAACAGCAAGATGATCAGTGCACGACAACACCACACAGCTGGATTAAAAAATCCATTAAAAAACCCTCCTCTGGTGCCAAACAGCACCAATTTGCTGGAGACACATTGCTACACGTAAAGGTCTGCATGGTAGTTAGTAGAAAATGCAGTTTTAAATACAAGGTGTATGACAGCAGGCTGTTATTCTGCCCCAAATAATATGCAGCATGTCAAACACCCCCAGGTTTCAGTCTTGGACAAAGCAAAGAGCCCCAAAATCCAACCATTCGTTTGGGAGCGAAGGCCCCCAGCATCCCCTGGAAGCTCCAGAGTTCACACCTGCACTCCCAGTTCAGTGGCAGAGCAGGAGCTTCAGAAGAAGGAGAGCTACGAAAGGCTCAGCCAAAGGACCAAACGCTGAATGGATTCAAGAAAAGCATCAAACAAACCACCAATGCCTCGCTGCTGGGATTACCTGCTCTGGTGACACTTCTGCTCAATGGGAGGATGCTCTTGTCCCTCTCATTTCCTGGTAAGTCCCAGTTTTATAGTCCTCCTCAGGAGGAGGAGCCTAGAGCCAGTTGCTTCACCCCTTGGCACCTGCAGCATTTTGGAGACAGGAGTTTCCTTGAACTTCATCAGTTATTGTCTTAAAGCTTTTTTTCTTTCCCGATACCCGGTGGGAGGGGGGGTTCCCTTCTGTTCAGCAGAGACAAACCACCCCTCCTCACCTCTTCCCCCCACCCTCTGTGTCCCCAGGGGCTGATGTCATCACGCTTGAAGTTCAGTTGCAAAAAAACAAAAAGAAAATTGCCTTTGGGAAGCCCTATAAAAACCCTGACACCAAGCACCTTCCAGCCACACACCTCTGCATCCCTCGCCCGCAGCAGCGCCGAGCTGGGCACCCAGCACTGGGAAAAGCAGCCACCAGCATGGTCTACTCCACCCTACAGGTAACCCTTCCACCCACCAAACCCTCCCCACCTCTTTCCTTTTTCACTCCGAGGAGGAAACATCTCTTCCCGGGCCGTTCCTCAACCGGTCAAAAATTCTCGTGGCGTTAAACAGGAACCTGCCCCAAAATGAACAAATCCAGATGGTTTTCACAGTCACCTCACTGACCTGTTGCCTGCTCCTTCCACGTGTCCCAGACGTGCCCCATGTGGTGCCCTGTGGGGTTGTTGTTGTTGGGATGTGCCGTGTGGGTTTTCCTCGGAGCTGCGAGATCTCGCGGCAGGTCTGGAAAGGCTCTGCCGCCCCTTCCACGGTGCAGCTTTATTTCCCTGGATGTTCTTGGCATCCCTGCTGGACTCAGCTTTGGAAAATATTTTGTGCCTGCTTTAAGTGTGTAGTTGGTTTTATGTGCTCCTTTGATCTGTGAGTGTCTCACGGTGCCGCGTTAGAGGCACCACCAGGAAAACTGCTCCGGGAAAACTCCGGTGACAAACTCTCTGTCTGTGTCTTTCCTCCAGAAATCCCAGAAGCTCCTGGCAAGCTCCCGGCACGTTCACAAAACTGCTGCCCACGGTTTGTATCCCTCTGCAGAAAGGAATTCCCCGTCCTTTTTTAAGGGGCATCCCGAAATAATCGTGGCATTGCTTTAAAAGGAAGCGCCGGGCTGAGATAAACCACCCAAATCCTTGGAAAGCGAAGCATGTCTGGGGGGTCCTGGGGTGGGTTTGTGCCCTCAGGGCTAAAGGACAAGGAGAAAAGCAGCGAATAATTGGGAATCCCGTGTTAAACCAGAAATTTTAACTGATTTAGAACCAGGCTTTTCAAATTCTTCCTCTTTGACCTCAAAAGGAAGAGATTGAAAGCGTGGCTGCCATGGGGTTGCTCAGATCCTTAATTCCTCTGTCCTTGCTTCTTTACTGCACCTGATCCTGCTGTGGGCATTGCTTGGAGGGATTCATGGATCACTCCCTGTGTCTCCAGCACTGCCCAGCTTTGGACAAATTAACCAGAACTTGCCTGTGTAGCCCCTTGGTCTATTTTTTCTATTAATAAGTTTGTCTATTAATTTATTTAGAATCTACTGTAAGTTTTAAATTGTGTTTTTGTTCTATCATAAAATTATTAACTTTTTTTGAAAACATTTTCTTGGTCTATTACCTTTATTAACTTTTTTAAGCTGTGTTCTTGTTCTATCATTAAGTTTATTAACTTATTTTAGAACATGGGCTATTATATTTATTAACTCATAATGTGTTCTTCTTCTATCATAAGTTTATTAACTCATTTTAAAATGTGTTCCTAACTTATTACAGATTTATTAACTTATTTTTAAATGTGTTCTTTTTCTATCATAAGTTTATTAACTTAGTTTAAAACATGTTCTTGGTCTGTTATGCTTATTAACTTATTTTCAGATGCATTCCTAATTTATTACAAGTTTATGAACTTCTTTTAAAACGTGTTCTTGCTCTATTAGGTCCATTACCTGATTTTAAAATGCATTATTAATGCACTAAATGCAAAGAACGTTGCTTAATGAACACCTGGGCACAAGAGAAATCCTAACAACCCACGCAGATTTATTTGCTCTTGGACAGAGCCTTTAATTCTTTTATGAAGTTCTGCCACACCGGGAGAAAAAACCCGGGAGTCATGGAACGCTTCAAGCTGAAGGGTTAAAAAAACACCGCTGCCTGCTGAAGTGACAAAGAGCATTTGATGACGGGAAGGAACAAACCCAACTTTTAGGGGTGCCTGTGTGATTGGAGCAGATTTTCCTGCAGCTTTTCCAAGCCCGTTTGACATCACCCTTCCCTCCCGCCGGAGGGCGGCGGTGCCGCCGCCTGGGGACACGGGGGATGCTCCCGGGGGACAAGAGATGCTCCCGGCGGACACGGGGGATGCTCCCGGGGGACAGGAGGTGCTGTCAGAGGCCCCCAGCTCGGCAGCAGGTTTCCGAAGTGCTGAGCGTCCCGGATTCCTATAGGAATGCGTTTCCCAGAGCCGCCGTGAGGGAGGGGCATTTTCTCCCCGTGAGTCACCCGGTGATGACATTCCCAGCTGGGTTTCCAAGTGGTTTCAGCCTCCTGGGCTGTAGGTGAGCCCAACACGAGCAGGAACACTGAGTCAGCGGGCATGACATTTCGGGATGGGAAATTAGGGAATGGTCATTTTATTAATTGCCATGTTTTCTGTTTAAAAAACAAAGCCTCATGTGTACCTGCTTTTGGATGAGTTGTCACACGTTGAAGCAAAATGGTTTTGTTTGGTTGGGTTTTTTTTTTACTTCACTCAGCTGGCTTATTTTATGTGGTTCAGTTAATTTGGAGGTTAATATCATCTCTTATCTGTGTGCATGTAGGTATGCACCCCCACATTCATATATAAATACGTATATATATGGATTTGCCATCGTGCAAATGTCACCTATAATGGATTTTATGTTTTTTCTACTCTCATGTGCGCTCTCAAATTAATACTATAAATTTTAATGGGCCATAACAATTATAATTCTATGCATTTGAAACATTATTCTATTAATTATACCCTGTATTCTAATTCTAGAATTCAATACAATTCCATGAATTATAAATTCATCTAAACAAAGCAATTTGTCACTAAAATGTAAAAGTCCAGTGGTCCCAAACTGTATATTTCCAACAGAATTTTAACATTTTTGAGCATTAGCATCCTTTGGAGTGCACAGGGCTTGAGAATGGCTGAGCCAAGACACTTCAGTGCCTTGTAGGACGAAACTTCTGGATAAATCCAGACTTTGGGTCTAGTCCTGCTTGCCAAAAATGATGGAAACTATAGGAGGTTTTGCTTTTACGTGATCCACTCCCAGCAGGGCACCACTGGTAACGCAGCAGGGCTTCCTTTCCTCCAGATAAAAGGATGGGATTTAAATTGATCTTCCCAGAAAAAAGTGGTTTCTGGAAACTCAAGGTGAGGAGATGGGGCTGAGCTCTGGAACTGCTTCAGCTGAACCTGCTGGAAGCCACTCCAGCAGGTGCCTGGAGCAGACATGGAATCACAGAACATCCCAAGTGGGAAGGGACCCGTGAGGGTCATCAATCCCAACTCCCTGCTCCTCGCAGGACCACCTGAAACGAGCCCCCCTGGCTCGGGCGGTTCCTGCTCCCTCAGCTTTGTCCTCCTGCAGGTTGAGTGGGAGCAGAGGGTGCGGATCTGCCGGCACGGGGCCCACGGTGGGCTCACCCCTGCCCTCTCTCTGGTGCTGCAGTGGTGGCCAGGAGCGCTCCGGAGGACACCGTGACCAGCAGCTTCGCCTCCTTCATCCACGGCGCCCGACCCGACCACTTGTCCAAGACCGTCCGGCACCGGAGCAAGAGGATGATCCTCGACAGCATTGGGGTCGGGCTCGTGGGCAGCACCACCCACGTGTTTGACATCGCCCTGCGGTACTGCCGGGTAGGAACGGCCCCCTGGCACCACCCTGGCACTGCCACAGCCACACTGTCACCTCCTGGCCCGCACAGGGCTTCTGCCTTGTGGTGGAGGGGTGTTCTGGCACCATCCCTGCTGCCGCAGGAGGGGATCTCTCCTCTGTGGGGACCAGGGACAGCACCCAGGAATGGCTGGAGCTGTGTCAGGGCAGGGTCAGGTTGGATCTCAGGGAAAGGTTCTTCCCCCAGAGGATGGTTGGGCACTGCCCAGGCTCCCCAGGGCAGTGGGCACAGCCCTGAGGCTGCCAGAGCTCCAGGAGGGTTTGGATGATCCTCTGGGGCACAGGGGGTGACTCTTGGGGGTGGTCCTGTGCAGGGCTGAGGGTTGGACTGTACGATCCTTGTGGGTCCCTTCCAGCTCAGCATATCCTGTGATTCTGTGAAGACTTTTTTCACACAAAAGTTTGTAAACCATGGGAACAGACTGCCCAGGGCAGTGGTAGAGTCCCCATCCCTGGAGTGTTCAAAAAACACATGGATGCAGCACTCAAGGACATGGTTTAGCGGTGAACATGGCGGTGGCGCTGGTTGATGGTTGGACTTGGTGACCTCAAACATCTTTTCCAACCTTAATGAGTCTCTGACAAGGTCCTCCCCGGGGTTCCCCTCCCTCCCACAGGAGCTGTACTCTCCAGTTGCCGTGAGCTCTGTCTATGGCAAGCCAGGTGTGAAGCTGTCCCCGACACTGGCCGCCTTCACCAACGGAGTCGCGGTAAGATCGGAGCTCTACCAGGAGGACCCATCCTGTGTGGTGCCTTCAGAGGTGTTAGTGAGCATTGCAGGCAGCAGGGGGGTCACTGGGAGGGACTCCTCTGCAATCTCCTGCTTTTAGAGGGGCCACACAGCCCCCCTGGGGACAGTGGGGGGATGTTGTAACTCAGCAACATCAGCGAGGAACCCTTGTTCCCTCAACCCCCAGCACGTCCCACCAGCACGGCCTTATCTCCATTTCTGTGGCAGACACACTCCATGGATTTTGATGACACCTGGCACCCTGCTACCCACCCCTCAGGGGCTGTTCTGCCAGCCCTGCTGGCAGCTTCCCAGATGCTCCCTCCCGGCACCAAACCCACAGGCATGGATTTCCTGCTGGCGTTTAACGTGGGCCTGGAAGTGCAAGGAAGGCTCATGCATTTCTCCACTGAGGCTCACGACATTCCAAAAAGGTAAACTGTCTGTTCTTCACTGAGTAGATGGTGAGGCTGGGTTTCAAAATGTTAGGTTAAGTCTGGTTTAAGTCAGTGTTAGCCCAGGATAAGGGTAAAGCCCTACCCAGAGCCAAACGCCAGAGGCAATGAAGTGCCAGGTGTTTATTTGGTGACTTCCAGTGACCTTGCCTCAAAAATAACTACCAAGAGGACTCTCACTGGGCCTGCAGTGCCATCATCTCAACCAACCAGGGCAAGAGCTCACAGCCATGCAGACAGATTAACAGTGGGCACAGCCCCTGTGCCAACTGCCCTTCACCAGCACTGCCCTGGTGTGGTCCAAGGCACGGCACTGACCAGGAACTGTTCCCCTTAGACAAGTTGGATGAGGCCAGATTTGCCTGGAGGGGTAGAAAGTTTGGTGTAGTGACACAGGCCATGTCACCTACTCCTAGGGAAAATGCAAAATTGTTTATTGGAGACGCTGTTGGAGTTTCCAGAAAGATGCTTCGTTTTCGGACAGATAAATTCTGAGTCAGGTGACTCTCACCTGCATCGGAGCCATGAGGGATTTCCGCTGGCTGACCGTTCAGCTCCAGCCTCACAGAGGCCTGGATGCTCATTCCTACCATCTCCCCTCCAGGTTCCACCCTCCCTCGGTGGTGGGGACCATGGGCAGCGCGGCGGCCACGGCCAAGCTGCTGTCCCTCAGCAGGGCCCAGTGCTGCCACGCCCTGGGCATCGCCGCGTCCCTGGCGGGGGCCCCCATGGCCAACGCCGCCACCCAGGCCAAGCCACTGCACATCGGCAACGCCACCCGCCTGGGCTTCGAGGCGGCCCTGCTGGCAGCCCGGGGCATGGAGGCCAACCCCTTCATCCTGGACGACATCCCCGGCTGCTCCGGGTTCAGCGCCTTCTACGGGGTCTATCACCCCAAGCCGCTGCCCGCGCCCGGTGACCACCACGAGTTCCTCCTGGAGAAGCAGGATATTGCCTTCAAGCGGTTCCCAGCCCACCTGGGGATGCACTGGGTGGTGGATGCTGCCCTGTCTGTGAGGAACCTCTTCGTCCACTACGCGGGGTCCTTCTCTCCCGCCCTGATCCGCACCATCGTGCTGAAGATCCCGGTGTCCAAGTACATCAACCGGCCCTTCCCCAGCTCCGAGCACCAGGCCAGGCACTCCTTCCAGTTCAACGCCTGTGCTGCCCTGCTGGACGGCGAGGTCGGGCTCGGCTCCTTCACCGAGAGCAGCATCCACCGGCAGGAGCTGAGGGAGCTGCTGGACAAAGTGGTGGTGGAGCACCCCGAGGATAACGTGGCCAACTTCGACAAGATGTACGGGGAGGTGGCACTGCTCCTGCACAGCGGGGACGTCCTCACGGGCAAGTGCGACACTTTCTACGGGCACTGGAGGAAGCCCCTGAGCAAGGAGTCACTCCTGAAGAAGTTTCGATCCAACGCCTCCCACGTGCTCCCAGACGAGAAAATAGAAGCCATCATCACTACGGTGGACAACCTGGAGAACCTGTCAGACAGCTCCCAGCTGGCCTGCAGCCTGTGAGGGAACAGCACAGGGGGGTTTCAGGAGGGGTTTGTCCCGGTGAAACTCTGATTTCCTTTCTTCATTGGTGCTTTACTATTGATTTCCAGTGCCAGGAACGTTCCCACCCCTTCAAGTAGACACTTCACTCCCAAAGGAGCCCCCGGGGCAGGAGGTGTGACTGTGTCAACCCTCGGTACAAGGAGTACATTTCAGCTCGTGGTTGATGCTCTCTGAGCAGCTGAAAGGCCACCACAAATATAAAAAATAATCCCATGGAAATCCCTGAGAATCTTGGGGTGTCACTGGGAAGCTGCTTCCCCAGAAGGAGCCATGTCTGTGTGCTTTTTAAAGCTGGATTCCAAGGTTTTTCTGGGCACAACGCCCAACCACTGAGTCTGGGAAGAGGAGGAAGTTCAGCTGCGGAACGTGTGCTTTTCTTAGTGCTCTTCTGGGCACTTTTGGGATCACACTTAGTTAGTCCTGGTGGCCAGATGGAAAATCCATCCCTTACTGTAAACAGCCCTGCCTGCAAAGCTTTCTGGCAGAGAGGGATTATTTTGCTTTGCCAGTAAAAGCCTCTTGTTTCTCCAGCCTTTGGGAAGTGTTTGCCACTTGTCTGTGTACAAAGGATGGTTCAAGGACCCTCAAAAGCTGTAAGGGAAGGCAGCTGGGAGGAGAGGAGCCCTGTATCAGTCCTACAGCCCCTATGCCTCCCAGGGGGTGATCTCTGCCCATCCCAGGGCTGTGCCACACCACCCTCCTGCCTTGGCACAGGTTGCCCAGGCACCTGTTCAGAGCTGACAGAGCCCATGGGCATCTCTAGGTGGTGGCTTGGCCACATCCATGCTGTGACTCACATTGGGAAATTCCTGTTTCTCCCCTCTGAAAGGAGGGGAAGCTTCCTGAGAGTCTTAACTCACCCTTCCAGCTGGGATTAACTCAGTTCTCACACTCCTGAGCAGCCGTTCCCTGAAGGGCTCCTTCCCCTGCTTCCTTCCCAAGTGGGGACATGGACAACTCCTCAATATTCCTATTCAACACTGGGATTGCTGATCCAAAGGGCTCTTTCCAATATGATCCCAATAAAGGTACAGAACCTGCTGCAGGAGTGAGGGTTGTTCTCCCAGGGGGACGAGATGGGACCAGGCAGGCAAGAAGGAATGTGGGCAGGTTCCTTTATCTTCCTGGTAGTGGTTTGTGCAGAGAATGCCCCATCCAGAGATGGGACAAAACTGTTTGCTCACCTGTTAATCCACTCTCTCACACTGCCTGATAGTCACAGAGAATCTTTCTGAACGAAGAACAGAATTAAATTCACTTTCTGCATAAAGTTTTAATGCTGCCTTAGGCAGACCATCAGGTTTTTTGATTTTAATGTGAATACACACAGATACAGAGGCTTTCCCAAAAGATGGGGAACCCTGCAGAGGCTGGACGGGGACAGCTGGGACAGCAGGGACACTGTGCCCCGTGGTTTCTCCAAGGTAAAATATACATTGAGCCCCCCCAGGTTGTTTTTCCTGCTGAGGACAACAGCCCTCAGCCAGCAAAGCCTGGCTGTGCTCCAACAAGATCACCCCAACTACCCAGTGATTCTCCACCAGCAACAGATTTCAAATACTTGCCAAGTTTCCACGACAAGTTTCCAGTTTCCCTTGGTTCCAGTCAGGTGTGAGGTCACACCAAACATGTCATTCCGTGTTTCCCAGCCCAGTGAACTTGAAATCCACAGATCCAGTGCCCTCCAAGTCCTCTACAGGCCTGATATTTGTCCAAGGGATCCCTATGTGTGACAGAACCGAGACGGGCTGCGGTGCAGGGAACAAAGCCCCTTATGAGTGGTTCCAGTGTCCCAACCTTTTTTCCCATGTTCTCCTTTCCGTGTCTCCTGCTCCGTGCTGCAGTGAAGCTGCTTCCCTGCTCCTGTTGCAGGGAAGCTGAGCAGGAGAGGAGGGAACTGCCACCCTTCACCTGCTGGTGCTGGAGCATTAAAAAGGGCTTTGCAGTTGTGTTTCAGGCTGCAGTTTGTCGCTGAGATCCAGAAACCTTCATGTCTTGGCTGTCCTGGCAGACACAATCCCGACACCTTTCAGCAGATGGTGTGTAAAATTAGGAAAGGGAGGGATAGGAAGGCTGGTACGGTTCAATTTCCTTTTATTGGTTCACTTATCAATTCACAGAGTCCCAAAATCACCGAGGTTGGAAAATCCCTCGCAGCCCATGGAGTCCTCCCCGTGCCTTGTCCCCCAGCCCAGAGCACTGAGTGCCACAGCCAGGCCTTCCTTGGGCACCTCCAAGGGTGGGGACTCCACCACCTCCCTGGACAGCCCCTTCCAATGCCTGACAGCCCTTTCCAGGGAGAAATTCCTCCTGATGTCCAATCTCAACTTCCCTTGGTGCTACTTGAGGCCGTTCCCTCTCCTCCTGTCCCTTGTTCCCTGGGAGCAGAGCCCGACCCCCCGTGGCTCCCCCCTCCTGTCAGGGAGTGGTGGAGACTGATAAGTTGAAGCAGTAAGTGGCTTTTCCAGAGCATCCAGGAGCTAAAGGCATGCCTGAGTTTTTTGGTTTTGGTTTTGTTTGGTTTTTTTTCACTCACGGAGTTTCCTCTAAAAACCTTGGACTCTGAAAAAGCCTCCACTATCCCCACCCAGGAAAATGTCTCACTTGTTATTTCCATTATCAGACAACAAATGTTTTATATCCTTAACAAATTAGGAGGCCCAAACCCTGGAAAGGGAGGCCTTGAAAGAGAAAAAAAAAATTAAACCAGTTTGTGTGACACAGAGGGTGTTCAGAGATTAATAAGGTGCCACCAAAGCCCTGAACTCCTCCTCTCAGGCTGAATGAGAAAAGAGTCATTGTCCTTCTTTCTACTGCTGTTCCAAGAGAAATGACACCTTAAATTAAGGAATGAGAACATTTCTCCACAAATATATTTACAGTGGCAAGCTCAGTGGCTGGAAGGACACCAGAGCCAGGCAGGATCCTTGCTAGTAATCAATAATTACAGGACATTTTGGATGCCCCAACACTGGCAGTGCCCAAGGCCAGGCAGGAGGGGGCTTGGAGCAACCTGGGCTAGTGGGAGGTGTCCCTGCCCATGGCAGGGGGTGGAACTGGATGATCTTTAAGGTCCCTTCCAACCCAAACCATTGGATTGAGTCCACCATCAGCAGATTTGCAGATGACACCAAGCTGGGGGGGACTGTTGATCTGCTGGAAGGCAGGAGGGCTCTGCAGAGGGACCTGGACAGGCTGGATCCATGGGCTGATTCCAAGGGGATGAGGTTCAACCAGGCCAAGGGCCGGGTCCTGCCCTTTGGCCACAACAACCCCCGGTAGCTCCAGGCTGGGACAGAGGGGCTGGAGAGCAGCCAGGCAGGAAGGGAGCTGGGAGTGGGGATGGACAGGGAGCTGAACAGGAGCCAGAGTGTGCCCAGGGGGACAAGAGGGCCAATGCATCCTGGCCTGGATCAGGAACAGTGTGGCAGCAGGAGCAGGGAAGTAATTCTGCCCCTGTGAGGTCACCCCTGGAGTGCTGTGTCCAGCTCTGGGCCCCTGAGTTGAGGAAGGCCCTGGAGGGGCTGGAGCAGGTCCAGAGAAGAGCAACAAGGCTGGGGAAGGGACTGGAGCACAAGTGCTGTGAGGAGAGGCTGAGGGAGCTGGGGCTGTTCAGCCTGGAGAAGAGGAGGCTCAGGGGAGACCTCCTGACTCTATGCAACTCCCTGACAGGAGGGGAGAGCCAGGTGGGAGTCCGGCTCTGATCCCAGGAAGCAGCAGTAGGACAAGAGGGTTGGGTCTTAAACTGTGCCAGAGGAGGTTTAGGTTGGATATTGGGAAGAAATTCTTTACAGAGAGGGTGATCAGCCATTGGAATGGGCTGGGCAGGGAGGGGGTGGATTCTCTGTCCCTGGAGGTGTTTAAGGTGAGACTGGATGTGGCATCAGTGCCATGGGCTGGGAAGCACAGTGAGGTTGGATCAAGGGTTGGACTTGATGATCTCAGAGGTCTTTTCCAAGCCGGCTGATTCCATGATTCCATGGTTCTATGACTCTATGACTGGGGGATTCTCCGATTCTACAGTCCCACAACAAAAATCAGGGCAGTAGAAAGTAGCCCTGAAAGTAGAGAGGGGGTAAAGTTGGCGTGTGCAGGACGCCACCACAGCACTGCCCGTGGGCATCGCCCCCATCCCGAGGGTAGCACCCACCCGTGGGGTCCCGCGGCAGCCGGGCAGGCCCGTCAGCACCCTGGAGAGCAGCCCCCGGGTGCGTCCCTTCCCGGATCTCCACTCGCGAGGCAAAGGCGAAGCGACGCCCGCGGTTTTCTCCCGTGACACTCTGGCCTTTAGTTCCCACAAACCACCCAAGGGAAAGCAGCTCCCACCCCTGCGGTCCCCACCTGCACGAGCTTCTGGTCATCCAAAACACTGACGTTTGGGGGGCTTCGCCTTTTTCGGCACCATGGAGATGTTTGGATTCCCCACGAAATTACAGTAAGAAAAAAAAATACAATTAAGTGGTTGCTTCAATTTTATTGAGGGTTTTGTCTGTGGAGATCGGGAGTGGCCTCCCTGCCCTCCTGCGCTGTGCCCATGATGAAAACGATGCCTCAGTGTGGCCCGCTGGGGAACTGCTCTCCTTGAGAAGCCCCTCCTTCCTTGTTTTCTGCTTTTGAAATAACTGTGAAATTCCTTTTTTTAAAACAACTAAAGAAAGCAGGAAACTTAGGGCAGTCCCACAAGTGCCATCTGTCAGAGTAAGAGTAGACCACCCTCCTCATCCCTGCATAAATCCAGGTCTTTAGACTCTCTCCCCATCATGTTGCCACCTCACCTCTGCTTTTTCCCATCCATGGAGTCAGGAGCCCTGTGGCTCTTGATGCAGAGTTGAGTAGGAGGATGGGGCTTCATTTCCAGGAGTGTTTGAGTGTCAGACACTGAGGTCAAGTTCCCAGTTCCCAGACAAGAAGCGTGTTTGGACACTCACAGCTGGATTTGAACCACAGGCCTGAGACAAGACCAGCAGGAGATGAGAGGAAGGGAGACAGAAATCTTCACTTGTATCAAAGTGACCATGAAGAGAGGAGGAATAGCAGGTTCTTTTCTGTAGAATGAGGGGCTTCAGCTACCAGACATTAGGAAAAATGCCCAGGAGTGGGAGCTGAGCAGGAAAACTCTGCCTTGGGAAAACTCTCAATGTCCATGCAGCCCTACTTTTATGGGTGGGATTTGAGACTTGTTCTAGGTTTACAAAGGATAAGCTTGGAGACGGCCATCCAAAGGCTGGGCTCTGCATCCTGTCTCCTGCTGGGACACAGGCAGGGGCTGGGCTGTGCTCAGAGTTCCCCTTCATTGGCTGCAGTACCTGGAAACCTCAATCAGGTTCTCATCGGGGTCTCGGAAGTAGATGGATGTTATTGGACCCACAGCACCAGTTCTGGCCACAGGACCTTCTTCAACAACCACCCCACAGGCCTGGGAGGAGACAGAAGAGCAGGGGTTTAATGCTTAAGATCGTGTC